TCCCAATGGCCTGCTTTTAGGACTGATCATCTGTTGGCAAAAGTGATTCAGCGTTGGATTTCAAGGCTGACATTCTTGTTGGTGTCAATGCTAGCTCCAAGAGAGACGAAGTTATGACTGTCGGCGGTGTCAGGAGAGCCGAGGCGCTAATATGACGATTGTCTGCTTGATGGCAGAAGATATTTCATCTTGCCCTCGTTCACTACCAGACCCATACACTTCGCTTTCTTAACCAGCTTAGGGAAAGCAGGACTTACAATCGATTGACGACAAGGATACGGCATACGCTGTAGTAACTGCCATAAGGCACTTTTTTATGGCGGTGATGTCGGACATTCCGAGTGCATGCCCCTAAATCATTGTCCTTAATACGTTTGCAGTGGTTGCCATGGAACGTCCCACAACCTTGCTACGCGACTGGGTTTAAATTTGGTACATATTTAAAGGACTCACCGCTTGCTTCAAGACCGACGCCCGCTCGCACCTTGTGAATGGACAGTTAGACTTCAGCGTAGCCTTAAACCGAACAATTTGCAGTGTCTCCAATGGCTCATGGCCCATAGCGCATAAAAAGAAAAAGGCAAGAAATCCTCGTAGTCGAGTTTTCACAAACTCCAACTCCGAGCGTTGGATCAAAACAATACAAAGTAATTAGCAACATTTTTGGAGTGCATCTAAGCCATTGGAAAGCTAAAAACTGTCAAAACACTTCAAATTTTTCAATACATAAATCATTTAACCTTTGTGAGTGGATATTCAGACGCCCATAAGCGTACGCCAACTTCCACCAAAAGCCCGAAGCAGTGAAATAACGAAAATTAGATTCCAGACGTTCATTCAATACCTGCGACAACAACAACAAATTTTACGCCCATTCCATAAATGCCACACACAAGATCGAACTGAGTGAACAATGGCACGATCGTTGGAGGTGCATGATGACGCGGCGAATTGTTATGAACTCCCCCATTATCTCTTAAGAACGAAATAAACACCAAATAAATATCAACAAATAGCAAAGTAATGCTAAGACACGCACACTCTTACATACCTACACTCAGGCCAAGGGATGCTCATGTGCTAAAAAAAAAAGAAAATATATATATCTGTGTTTATACTTATGCGGGTGTCCCCAAAAGGGACTGAGCCATTGGTTCAATGAGTTGCAGCATTGAATCCACCACTTGATGCCTTGACAAGTGCATTTAAGTCCACAAATGAGTGCAAACGAGTAAACGTGATCGTCTTAAGCACCAACCTCTGGGGCTTACCTAGTCATCGTCACCGTCACCGTCACCGTCATTGCCAGTGCCAATACCATTGACACGACTGATGATACACATAATATGCAGCGTACTGCTGTAAGATCAATTGCCCTCAGCTCCTCAGCACTCGCTAAGGCACTTTGGCGCGAATGGATTGTCTGAATGAATGAATGAGTTGCGAGCTCAATGGTCTAGAACGATGTATGCTTGGTCTGCCAGCTTACATGCAGTTGTGGTAACGAAGGTGTTGTCCGTCCATCCGTTCAATCGTCTCTCCGTCCTTCCGTCTGTCGTGAGCAGCGAGGCACTTTCGTTGACACGCTGATGACTTGTCCGCGCTGACAATTAACGTATTCGTGCTATCAATGCGCATGAATTGGCACAAATTTACCAAATTATTCAATGCTGTCATTACGTACAACAACAATAGCAACAACAACAACAACAACACCGGCAAGTGTTAAAAAGTGTGATCCAAGCAGCAAATGAAGGTGGTTAATACTTTTATTGTTTACGAAAGGGTATAATTTCAGTTATAACGAGATTCGTGGTTGGTGCAATGCCTTGCTGCGGATATCGTGAGTCGGCATAAATTTTCTGTTAAATAAGTTGTGCCAACCAAATAGCCGGTAATAATGTTGCACTCGACGAAGCTATGTAAGTGCAAGTGATCGCGCGAGCACTTGAAAATGAAAATGATCGTAAAAAAAAAGACGGGTTTGGGTTGTGGGCTCGTTGAACAACAACACCGCACACGTATGAAACCCTTCCATATCGCTGCTTAACATAATCCCAGTGTTTTACTTAGCACATTTTTTGATCTGGGGAAGCCACCAGCATCAAGTGCTTTGAGCGTGCACCACACGCATGCTGATTTGCTGAGCAACCAATTTTGCTTTTTTCTTAGTTTTCATATTTTCATTCATTTTTGTAGATTTTTTTGCTTTGTTTTTTTTTCATTTCAAGTGCTGCGGAAGAGTACGAGTCCGTCACTTTGGTGAAGAGTGGCTTTATCCGGATTGAGTGATGATGCATAAATGCCCAGATATTGAAGCATTCCAAGCGAGTGTATGCTTATACAAATATGACATTTAGTTCTATTCAGTCACGGCTGTGCGTATGGCATCTCAGCGACGAGGGTCAGTGTGTTCTCAGTTATTGATTGATGAGTTATCGATGTGTCAATGTGTTTGTCTGCATTCTTATATTGTGCAATTAAAATTGAGCAATCAAAGCAATCAAAGAGCGTGATTGTCACACAAATTTATTATTCTTGTCGGAACTAAGGAGGAGAGTTCGTGGGGAATGTATAGAGGAAACGCCTGGAGATGTCAAAACAGAACACCCAAGCAACAATGATGGAGTAGATGCCTCATCAACCGATTATGATCTAGTTAGAACTGCAATTTGCTGAAACACAACAGCCAGCCACATGAGGAAAAGCTGATGAGACGCGTACATAACCTTTAATACTTATGGCCGGAGTACCTGACCGATGGAACCCGAGTGTGCGTAGTCCGAACCATATGAAACAAACCTTACAATCAGCGTCAAATGAGGAGGTAAAGATCAGCTGGCATGCTGAAAACGGCTGGCTCTACGCCACCAAACTGAGCTGGCGATATCCTCTCTCAACGAAGGAAGACGCATAATATGCTCATCCTACTATATAATGCCGCTTAGATGAACTGAACCTTACAGCATGATGCTATACGTGCTGGTTGAAGCAGAGCAAATGTGTAAGCTTCTCTTCTTTGAACGAATAAAGTGAAGTGTGACTCCGTTTCGCCTGATATAACTGCTGTACTATAGTAAACTCGTTTAAGAGGAGGATCCTCTCTCAGCCGTTTGATCACAAACAAGGCTTCAGGCAAGATGACTCCTTGCCGTACGCCTTGATTTAATGTTGGAGTAAATAATACGAACTCTAGCATTGCGTACTGCCATTCGGAAGGCCCGGGTTCAAATTCCGGTGTGGCCAACTTCCAGGAGTTACAGGAAATTAAATGAAATAAAAAATTAAAATAAATTTTCTAATGGCAGTCGACACTCGGCAGGGAAAGTCAACCCCTCCGAGTGAATTTCTGACATTAAATAAAGCTCCTCATGAAAAAATAACCGCCGTTTGGAGGCGAAGGCTTAGTATAAACTGTAGGTCCCACCATTTGATGAGGAGCTCTGCCGAAAATCGGTTCAGCGGTTACAAAGCGCCAAATATATAAATGATAATAGCAGCAGAGCAGATAAGGTGGAATCTTCTATAAGAGTGTACAAATGGATGCCGATGATATTGAAGATATATTGCTGTGTCCATACTGTGAAAGAAGACAAGCGAATGAGTCTCGTAGTAAACGAAGACGACGACATATCTTCTGTCAACAAACAAACAATCATCGTATGCAGAGCTTGGCTCCCAAGTGACTATTGACAGTGTAACTTTGAAGTCGTAGATAATTTTGTCTATCTTAAAAATAGCAACGGCAGGCAGGCTTTGCCTTGAAATCCAACGCAGAATGACACTTACCAAACGGTAATACTCTGAACTTAGTAAACAATTAGAGGTAACACCCTCTATCGATAAACAAAGGCTAAACCAGAGGCTGGACCCCACCGAATATATACTTTCCGCGCGATACCAACCACCTCTTATCACGTCCCTTAAAACAGACTCATCTAAGATCCTGTAAAAAGATGTAAAACCACGCATATTATTCTACGGTCCCACTGTCTGGTGACCAGCCCTTGACAAAGCTACATTCAGCCGTTGACTTCCATCCCCCTTACAGATGCGCTGACATCAATTCCTAAGAAAGTTCTTGATATGATCCTTAATATATTTCTCAGTGCAATCACACCACCTCAGCGATGATCTAGCTAGACGTAGGAGTTGAATCGCGTATGGGATGACTGCTTGTTTGATAATAGGAAAGAATTCGTCTTGTCCTCGTTCACTACTAGACCCATACAGTTCGATACCTTTCCAAGATTCGATAAGTGAATATCTCGGCAATTGTGGATTTACATTGCGGTCCGAGTCGATGTTGGTTTCTCGGAGTTTAAGCAGGTCAAGAACATTGGCGGCATGTCATCCGTCTATCAGAACATAATCTATGCGATTTTTAGTTTTTCGATCGTAGAAACAGAAAAGTAGCTTAATGAATTTTCTTTTAGTGAAAGTGAAAGTAGTTCTACAAACCACATTTCAGGTCCGGGCTGTGGCAAGATGTTCATCCTCCGGGATGTCCCTGTGTGTTAGGGGCTCAATAATTTACCCGTGGTAAAGCATGCCTGTCGTAAGAGGCGACTAAAATCCAATAGATACCGTGACAGTCGGGTCTTTATACCAAAACTATCGGGAAAGTATTTTGCGGTTACAACAACAACCGGGATGAATCCCAGGAGTTTGGCAATGGAATTCGACCACAAATTTGCTATCCTTTATGTAACTGTTGTAGTAAATGTCACAAGTACCTACTTTCTTCCGATCTGGTCCCGTCGATCCATCCACTTTTTAGATAACGGTGATATCTACCTTTACCTTTACGAGAACATTAACCAGCTGAGCAGAGGCACCTTCCAGTCCCTAATATGTTTACAGTGGTCGTCGTCAAAAGTGAGGTTTGAGTGGCCTGCGACTTTGTTAACATTTTCATTGCACCGCAGAGCTCCACTAGACAAGTACGTGTAGGTTTAAATGTTGAACAAATATGTTTAAATAGCAAGCCGCTAGAAACCGCAGAGCGAACCGTTAAACTGAATATATCAGAGTGGCTCCACTGAAGCTTCGTGAGCATTATGCGAGCATGAAAAAGGCATAGTTCTATTGAGGATCACACAGGTACTGAGAAAATATTAATCAAGGCAAAGGAACTGACACACAGTCTACATCAGTTCTTTTCGGTGAGTTGATGAGTATTTCCACGTGATTCGTTACTGGTTACTTCTTGTTGACATTTCTCACAGAACGGAGCCATTCTTGGCACTTATTTGCAAGAGAAGTGCCCAAACTTCGTTCAACGGGTTCGGAAGTCAGATTTTGTAAAATAATAATATTCTCTCTCTGACGTCACTGTTCATATTTTTCAAATGTGGAAACCACTGAAGTGGCGCAGGGGGTTAATGTCCATGGCTGAAATTCTAAGGAGCGCCGACAAGAAAACACATTGACTAAACTTTTTCATATAAGTGTATTTTTATTAATGTCATCATGTCTATTAGTTGGTTCGTATGTATTGTATTTTATTTCTATCGCGTTTACCCCAACCACAAGAAATTGTACATTTGCTTTCATCACAATAGCAAGCTTTAGTTAATATAATTATAAGGTAACAACAAAAAAGGAATGAAACAAAATAAGCAACAAAATACATACATACACAATTAGCCAATTGATTAAATGCATTTAATAAAAAAAAAAAAAAAATTGTAATTGTCTAAGAAAAATGAGTGTTGTAATGCAGTGCAATGAATCAATAATTAAAGCGTTTAGCATTTATAGCAAAACGTTGTTCCCTCATACAATTACACACTACGTTTTCGTTTACAGTACATACATATGTATATTATATGTGCCTTAATTATGATATATCGAGTTAATAATAAATATGCGTACAATATATTTTGCATAAAATTATAGATATATATATATTATGATTAAATAATACGATGTAATATATATGGTAAATAACTACCGCCACAAAATTATGTTACAAATGAGAATGTATATATTTTTTTTATTATTTGTTTGCCTTAATTTTTGTCTCGCTTCAAAATTTTCCATTTTTTTTTTATTTTTATTTTTACAATAGATTTAGTTATCCAACCAATGTGAAAACTGGAAAACATACACATATTAACATATAAGTATTTACGTAGTTTGTACAAATGGCGAACTGATAAGGGTTGTGTCTTTTCTGCATTTTTTTTTTCACATTTTAAATTAGTTCTTGCCAACGTTTTTTGTTTCTATTTTTAGACTTCCATGGAAAGTATTTGCTTTCAAATATCACCAAAACAATTGTATATATGTATGTATGTATGTTTTCTTTATTTATCATTACGACGATACCAACACTCCACGATTGCAGCTGGACACTGACTTTAATTACAACTTTGTAGCAGCATATGGGAGAGTGCAAAGAAAAACATTGCCAGCAAAAAAAATACTTTTCCTTTCATTACAACACACATAAGTATGTTTATAATTATTTTTTGAATTCGAATACAATAATCATAATGATAATAAATAATACTACGCCAAGTATACCAGCTAAAATGAGTTTCTTCTTACGCAGTTTATTCTAGAAAAATATAAAAATAAAAATAAACAAAATATTTATTTTTAAATTTTTAATTACATACGAAATTTTACTAACCTTATACGAGCTGGCTTTACGCAGATTTTCAGCACCCTGTGATACGAATACACTAGTCTGTTCTACGGACGATTCGATCGAGTCAACAGTTAGACCTTGTTCGTACACCATGGCACCAAGTTTCTTGTAGATTTCATTCACACCTACAATATTTTCCTAAACCCCGTATAATAATATATTATTTAATACATTGTCTGACTGCCTGCAAGCTCATTTTTCCTTTACCTCCAATTCGCGAATTTGTCGTTCTTGTTCTTCCAGCGCTTGCAAATCGATTTCTTCCTGCATTTGTGTTTGTTGTTGCGATTGATTTGATTTACGGTTAAAGAAGTTGTCCTCGAAGAAGGAACCACTATTGTTGCTGCCACTGGTACCGCCGCTGCCATTGCTACTGTTCGTGCCCGGTGGTTTACTAATATTGTAGCTATGTGATCGCGCTTGTCGAACCGCATTCTTTTCGATATCGACGGTCTTACGTTGAAGGGCCTTAAAACAAAAATAATTGAATTAACATTTGTTAAAAAAATTAATAATTAAATTAATATTTTTTAAAAAAAAATTGTATTTGAATTTATAATTCAAAACAAAAATAATTGATTTAACATTTGTTAAAAAAAAGTAATAATTAAATTAATATTTGTTAAAAAAAAAAATAATTAAATTGATATTTGTTAAAAAAATGTAATTGAATTTATAATTCAAAACAAAAATAATTTTAATATAAAAATAATAGTTAAATTAATATTTGTTTAAAAAAAAAATTAATATTTTAGTGATAATTCAAAACAAAAATAATTGATTTAATATTTGTTAAACAAATAATAAAATTAATATTTGTTAAAAAAAAATAATTTAATTAATATTTGTTAAAAGAACAATAATATTGAATAAGAAAAATTTTATAAATTAATTGCATTAAATAATAAAGCAATAGAATTTTGGAAAAGTTTCTGCAAATACATTGATTAATTTTTTTATACTTTTCCATGCATAAATATGTTAGCTCAATTTATAATATTGCAATAATTTACTTTTTAATGGCTAACAAAAAAAATTGGTAATATTTCAAGACATACAATAAAGCTTTAAGTGGATTAGGTAGAAGAGATAATGTATGAGTAACGTATACCAATGCTGATAAAAAGTTACTTAGTACATATAATAAAATAAACAAACTTTGAAAGGTGCGAAAACAACTGTTTTATGTACAATAAAAACACACACTAAGCTTGTATAAGCATTTTTTATATAGATGTCTGTTTAGAAAGTATGTATGTACAAATTACTTAGGATACTCTTATTGTCTTATACATTATCTAAATAGGTAACTTTTTTATCATATACATATTTACCTGAAATGCAGTCAAAGCAGCAGTGAATTCATCAACCAAACGATCCCGTTGAATTTTCAAATGACGCTCTTTGCATTTATCCACCTCTTTTAAATGATTATTTGTATCCGAAACCAGCTGATGAGTATAGGTCATAATTTGATGTCTATTTATAAAATTAGGTGGTGAATTTAAAGAGTTATCATAAACAATTAAAATGCTTACAGCTGTTTCTTCAAATCGGGCGAATCCTGTGGTGTATTGAATTGATTGACCATACGTTGCATAGTCGACACTGTAATTCAGAGATATACTCTTTAAATGGATTTAAATATGTAAAAATATTTTACCATTTTGTAAAATTTTCTGTATGCTTGTCGCAATCGTTTGGGCCAGACGTTGGAAGTCAGTTTCACTGAAACCACCGGTACCACCAACATTTCCAGCACCATGGCCACTGCCACTGATGCCATTCTCCATATGCTGCAAATCCATACTCTCGTAGGTAGACACTGTGGTTGTTGATTAGTTTTTCAGCAGCGGAAACGAAGTTTCTATGTAAGTACCAACTAAAAAAAGAAACAATTAACAATTGATTTGAACAAAAGGTTATTCGAAGTTGGTGCGTTCTCCGATTCAATGTTCGTTGTTTATTGCAGATAAGAGTACCACTGTTAATAAATTGTTTAATGAATATAACATGTGTACTTTTGTGACCAACAATATATGTATTTTATTACGTCGTATTTGCGCACCTTTCTTTGTTGTAAGAAATGCAATTATGGTTGGTGTATTTTCCTCTACGACAAGTTACGTCGCTTACTTTTTATGTGGTTTCTGTTTTTTGGTATCATACGACGACTGGCACTTTGCTTCTACTGTTGCCCTTCCTTTTGCCAACCAACTTTCCCTCAGCCAATGCCAAATTTATAATATTTGATTGTTTTGCCGAAACTTTATAACATTCTTGACTTTTCGATTAGTCGCACCATTAACCTGTTTTTTAATTAAAAGCGAATTTTTCGCCCACTGTCTATTATTTTACACTTTTCAATTTTTTACAGATGATAAATCTTTTTTATTTTCTTTGCAAAAAAATTAGTCAACTATGAATGTCAATTTTAGCCAGAGCTACCACTACTCGTTTAAATATTTAATTTTGATTGTTCGCATTTTGTTAACAGAAGTTTTTATTGGAACTAACGGAAAATACAAAAAGAGTTGCATTTGATAGAAAAATCTACGAGAAAATCGCAATTTTTAAGCTACCGAGTTTTTAAAACAAAACTTTTTAGTAATTAAATAGTTGCAATTATTTAATATTTTTAAATTCCCTAGTTCTACTGGCAATACCGACTAACTGTTATAATTACTTTCTTGCTATTGTTTGTAAGATGTCAGTGTGACGCATAGATTTTGACAGAATCACCAAATGTCAGCGTTTTTTTTCTTTTCTCGATAAAAGAAGGAAAAGTGCTTTGAACAAGAAATAAGGTGTGGTTGAAAAACATAAATTTACTATTAGATTAATGTGTTAACTTAAGTAAAAGTTGTTAAGAATCATTATTAAAGTATTAAAGTTGAATATAAAAGCAGCAGCATAATGGCAGGACGTCTACCGGCTTGTGTGATCGACGTTGGCACAGGGTGAGTTAACGAACAAAATTTGGTGCAGTAAAGGAGGTCGCTGGTTCATTGATCACTGATTGTGTATGTGTCGCATGCAAACGGCCCCCACCAAAGCGAAACAACCAATAAAAAACATGAAAACTAAAATTATTCAATATGTTGGAGTATACAATAATCCCTGAGCTACAGATAAAATGTTTGTAATTTTTTTTTTAGCTATACAAAGTTGGGCTATGCTGGCAATAAAGAGCCACAATTCATAATACCTTCGGCTATTGCTATTAAGGAAACAGCACGAGTGGGAGACACCAATACACGACGCATAACAAAGGGTGTTGAAGATTTAGATTTCTTTATTGGCGATGAAGCATTCGATGCTACTGGTTATTCGGTGAAGGCAAGTATTAAGTTAAAATAAAAAAAAAAACAATCATTTACAATGCAATGACTAATGATGACTAATCGTGCAATATAAGATAACAAAACTGGAAATAATTTATTCATTTAATAATGCTCAAAATGTTTACAGTACCCAGTACGTCATGGTTTGGTGGAAGACTGGGATTTGATGGAACGTTTTCTAGAGCAATGCATTTTTAAATATCTGCGCGCCGAACCGGAAGATCATCATTTCCTCTTAACTGAACCTCCGCTTAATACGCCAGAGAATCGCGAATATACCGCAGAGATAATGTTTGAAACATTCAATGTTCCTGGTCTCTACATTGCTGTGCAGGTAAGTTGATATTTTTTAGATTATTCTTTTAATATTAAGTGTGTGATAAAAAATTACAAATTTGTTATTCATAGGCCGTACTTGCTTTGGCCGCTAGTTGGGCTGCCAGACCGGTGGAAGGACGCACATTAACAGGCATTGTTGTAGATAGCGGCGACGGTGTGACACACGTTATTCCCGTGGTATGTATTAAAGAAAAATATGTAAATAGAAATACAACTCGTTATCTTATCTAAGCTGAAGAAATATCGATTAGAATATGGAATTTGCTGTTTAAAAACATTTGCCGTATACAATTTTTTTTTTTTGCTCTTTAAGTATACTATCTGTATATGTATGCATAAATACTCTTTTTTCGCCATTTTTTTTTTGTTCAGCTTTAAAAATAGTTTTTAATTAGTTTAATATTCAAACGCTTAAACATTTTAAAATTATTTTCATACCAATAATTTTGTTTTATTATTTTTTTTTTTTTTGTTTCAGGCTGAAGGCTACGTAATTGGTTCTTGCATCAAACATATTCCCATTGCTGGTCGCAATATCACCTCGTTCATACAAAGCTTATTGCGTGAGCGTGAGGTTGGCATACCGCCTGAACAAAGTTTAGAGACTGCCAAAGCAATTAAAGAAAAGCACTGTTATATTTGTCCAGACATTGCCAAAGAATTCGCCAAATATGATACGGAGCCAGGCAAATGGATACGCAACTATACGGGTACTAATGCGGTGACAAAAAATCCATTCAGCGTAGATGTTGGCTATGAACGTTTCTTAGGTAGGTGTTGGATTATACTATATATTCAATTAAATTTTTTTACATTAACCAATGGCTTTTTCACAAATTTTTAGGACCTGAGATTTTCTTCCATCCCGAATTTTCAAATCCCGATTTTACCATTCCACTCTCGGAAATTGTTGATAATGTTATACAAAATTGTCCGATTGATGTACGACGACCTCTATACAATAACATCGTTTTAAGTGGCGGTTCGACTATGTTCAAAGATTTCGGCCGTCGTCTGCAGCGCGATATCAAACGATCGGTTGATACGCGTTTACGAATCAGCGAAAACTTATCAGAAGGCCGCATTAAGGTAAACCAGTTTGGTGTAAATACATAAGAAATTGTAAATTGATTTATAAATTATATTAATTTCGTTTAGCCAAAACCAATCGATGTACAAGTCATTACACATCATATGCAGCGATACGCAGTGTGGTTTGGTGGCAGCATGTTGGCATCCACGGTATGTGAAATTGATTTGTGCGATGTACAAGTGTATAATATTGTGTTTTTTTATTGCATTTCCAGCCTGAGTTTTATCAAGTGTGCCACACAAAGGCTGCTTATGAGGAATACGGACCGGGCATTTGTCGTCACAATCCTGTATTCGGCACCATGACATAATCATGTATTATTAGACTGTGCTCACAGAATTGTTTTCCTCCTAACATGCAATTTATAAGTTTCCGCTATTATTATTATTTTTTTTTTTTTGCTATATACATATATACGTTTGTAGTGCAATTTAGCTGCTTGGAAACTCACTCGCGTTCAATTGTCGTAAAATAAAACAGTTGATATTGTAGCTAAGTTGTAGAACTGCACATGGTATGTAATACTTAAAGTCAATAACTAATGTTCAAGCTGCATTTTTTTTGTATTATTATTATTATTAAAGAAATGAGTCTTATTATGCAAATAATATATGTAATTATTTTAATATTGCCAACGCATTTACAAGGCGATGTTGACATTTTTATACATATGCATACATACATATTGTAAAGCATTATCGAGAGCAGAGGTTTGAGGAGTTGATGTTTTCCAACGAAATATGTTTTATTGCTCAACCTTACTGTTTCGTACTGTGCAAGCATTGTATATGCGTTTCTTATAATATAACTATAATTCCATTATTAATATAAATTTTCTTTTTATATGTTCAAATATTAAAATCAAACAGTATAGTATGGAAAAAGTATATAATTAAATATTTAACATTTTGGCCAATTACAATAAAATTAAAACTATTGAAGAATGCAAGTGCGTATGTATGCACGGGAAACATATGTATGTGATTCTTTAAGAGAATTAAATAAAAATCCACATAAATGAAAAATTACTATATATGTATGTTTATTTGATTTATTTATTTTTTATGGAATGTGCTTATTCATGATATTTGATGACTCAATTTACACCGTGTGAACGCAGTTTGCATATTGACAACTAAAACTACTTTTACGGCAATACAGATGCTGTTGCTCAAATCCATCAAACAAGAGTGAACAAAATTCAAAGTAAAACATTTCCTTATTACGGGGGTTAGCATTTATTTTATTTTTATTTGATATTATTTATAATTTTATTAATTGTAGTTAGAAAACAAGACGAAACATTATGTTCATCGCTTCTATCAAAGTAGCCGACAATTCTTTCACATATAGTTTTTTTTTAATTTTTGTTTCTATTTTTAAAGTACGTTTTTCAGTTAACAGTTAAATTGAAATTTCGCTTCTTTATCTCATTGCATAGCCACAATTACATATAAATTTGCTTATTGAAATTGTTTCATAAATGTAGTAAATATTTATGTATGTATATGAATATTATGTATTTAAAAGCGTAATAAACGTAATAAATTGGTGGTGCTGACGTTAAGATTAGAAAACACATGTTTTTTTAATTTAATTTTTTATTTGCGAGTTCAGATTTAAAATGTATTTCTGTAGGTGTATAGCAGATTTTTTAACAATTATTGATTTTTTTTCTCTTTCATATATATGTATATATATATACTTTTGAAAACCAATCATTTTTGTTTATTCAATTGTGTACCGTTGTGTATTCAAAAATATATATGTACATATGTCAGTGTTTTTAATTTAAATTAACATGCAGTAGATATTACATTCAATGTCTTTTTTTTGTTTGCTTATGCATTTAAAAAACTGTTATCTTTAATTAAATGATTTTCATTTTTTTTTTTTTCAACAAATTTTAATTCAAATTTCTTTCGCTATATGTAAAGCAAGTTCCAAAAGGCTTTTCCATTCGACGGGTTTTTGTTCAGAGTTCAAAAATATTTTTCTGTGCTTCATTTTTTAGAACAGTTGATAGTATATAGTATGCATGTTAAAAATTTTAAACCATAATAGAAAATTGTTTTTGTTGGGAAAAAGCTATTTAAACTTCTTACGTTTAGGAATAACAACTCAATCGAAGTAATCGCTCGTATCTTCTTCCGAGCTGCCATTCTCTTCGGCATCAGCCGCTTGCATGGGCTCCACAATGCGAAAATTCTGTAGAAAATCACGCATTGCATCGACAATATTTGTTAGGGATTGTGTGAGTTCACGATAAGAAGCACCGCCTTCTGTGCCTCCAGCAGCAACTGGAAAATAATGTTAAATATTTATTAATAAATTGTGCCTATGCTATGATGCTAAAAATTTGTTCAAGCAAGTTAAAAACAACTAAATAAAATTTTTTTTTTGAGGATTGCCAACTATTCCCGAAAAAAATAAACGAAAAATATAATGCTAGGTATGAGAGTTGAGGAAGATAACAAAGAAATTTGTTTCTAAAACGAGTTAAATATTAATATATGATAGTATGAAACTAAAGTTTTAAATGTTGAACACTGAAAATATTTTTGAGGAGGTTTGCCAACTACATTGCAATTTAAATTAAAAAACAATCTGCTCACCTTCGATATCACCTTGCTCCAAATTAGCATTTAATGCTTGTAGATGGCGATCAACTTGCGCCACTTCATCGTCTTCATGAGCTAAATTGGCTTGTACTGCTGGTGCTGCGTTAGCCCGTGCCACAGCAGCTTGGCCGCGAGCTGGAGCTAGCGCATCATTTCCTCGAACTGGAGCAACATTTTCACCTGGTAGCGCAGCTTCCAAAGGTTGCGGTTGCTGTTGCTCGCCGCCCCGATTGTTCAAATTGAATGAAGGCATCAATGATTCAAAAAACATAAGCACAGAACGATTTGGACCAGTTGTGGGACTGCTGGAGGATGATTTTCTGCACACAAAATACAATATAGTAATAACTATGCATGGCTAAAATGTGTGAATGATTTTTTAATGCAACATACCGCTCATAACAATTGACCGAGTCTAGTGGTGGCAATGGATCATACATCATAATCGGATCCTTTTCTTTGCTAAGAAATGGTGCTAGTGGCACTTTTTCCTTGTAATCGGAGAGGATTACATGCCGTAATATTGGCCGCGGCGGTGACACATAACGCACAACACGTTTCTGATAATAGTCATTTATTACTTCATCCTTCCGCTCTATAATGTCCAAAACTGTGTTGACATTACGCTCCAACCACGGTAGCATGTTATTCTGACGCCACACAACTTTAGCGCGGCAAATATACAATGAAACAAGCTGGTGCAGAGACGGGGATTGACTGCGTAGGGGCGAGCACAAAATATTTAACTATTTTAAATTGATTTTTGTACAGTAATTCCCCCATCAAACTCACCTGCCAGATATAGAAGGGTTAAAGTAAGACGAAACTTGTACACGTGTATCTGTTTGTATAGATAACTCATCCAAAAGTGGACGCAAAACGCTCGGGAACATTAGTAATGCATATTGCAATGCTTTATCGGCCTTCTCACAATCTGTAATGAAATATGAACCGTTTAGACTATGCTATTAATACGAAAAGAAAGTCTTAACAAACCTCCTGTTTGGCAAAATAAGGCCAGGGCATATGAATATGCCATGTTTGGCAACTGTGATAGATTGCGTACAACATCATATTCTTCATAGAATTTTATAAGCCAAGCATGCTGCTTGCTACGCAGTGCATAATAATCAATTATCAATACTATAGCCAATGGATCCACTTCCGGATTAAGATTCAATATCAATTTGGCAAGCTCAAATGCAGTGCGACAGCATGCGCGTGCCTCCAAGTATTGAGCATGCTTGAATAATGTAATAAAGAAAGATCGATTCTCTTGGCGACGATAATCCAGGCGACAATTGCCCGAAGTCAAACTGAAACTTGGGTGCAATGAAGATTCCAGCACTAGAACAGCACGTTCAATGAGTTCAGCAGCCAAGCTGAAGTTCTCTGTCATTTTACCTAAAATCAAAATGTAGCATATTTATACTTTTTATGTCTATGTATATATATTTATTTATTACTACTTACACAATTCACTCAGTTGTATTAACGAGTCAACATGATACGGACAACGTCTTATCAAACTAATAAAGTAGTCGGAATCAGTGCGTTCCACTGCTTGCAGAAACAGATTTTGCACACCCTGATAATATTGACTATGTTCGAAAGCAAACCATTGAATCTTTTCTGTTGAATTAATGTTATTGCTGCTGCTGCTGCTGCTACCAGCTAATTGTTCTGGCAACTGCACCGGTTTCATTGTTATGATGTTCTTCGTGATTGGCGGCCAAGATTCTTTGGCTGTGACCATATATGTAGATTTCAAGGTCAACTTTTGACGTCCTCGTTTATTTCTAATTGGAAGGTGATATTTATAGATTGCAAAGGACAACCAGGCATGATACAATAACAACTCACTCAATTTTAACGACACGTTTCCCAAAGGTGCGTCTCATCTCATTTTGTGGATTTAGATGCTTCAGTTCGACAGTCAGCAAAGATTTATCGATTTCTATGCGTGGAGGATGTATTTTCTGATTTTGATTTGTGGCATCATGCACTTTTCCAATAAGTGAATCAATATCACTGAGATATTTGTCTGTGAGCTAAGGATCAATAATAAAATTTTAAATATATTATTAATTAAATAAGTTTACATTCCATTATCTATATTAATTAATTTTTACATATTTGCAATCAAGCTTTATGCTAATTTTTATTTATGCCGCTATATTTGAACTACTTGACCTAGTGCACCAGCAAAACACTTGATGCGCACAAAACACATTTTATCACAAATAAAATAGCACTACTCACCTCATTATCCTCACTGCTAATGTGGTTGCCGGTATACTTTGTCTTCTTCTTGCGTTTCTTCTTTTTCTTTTGTTTGGCTGCACCTCCACCAACGGCGCCACTTGGCAAATTTGCGGCTGTCGATGCATGTTCGGTTTCGTTATCATCTTCCTTAACTTCGCTCTCGGAGAGACTTTGTTGATTCAACTGGTGTGACGAAGGTGAAGTGTTTTGTTGTTGTTTTGAAAAGTTTGTAGCCATATTCATACATATATATAAAAGAGCACAAACAAAAAAAAAAAAACAAACAAAGTTTTATGCGTGAAACTTATTCATTCATTCTGCGGCATTTAAATTTAATTCATGGTTTGGACAAATGTATATCCCCAACACTAACAGCAACCTCTAACCCCATATGCTATAGTGTCGATTTCTCGTCAACCATGGAAGATGTGAATTCGTGTCAATTGTATGTATACTTTATCTACCATTCCTACCCGTGGTTTAGTTTTCATAATTGCATTTGTAATAACATATGTATGTCAGTATTTTGCTACCGCTAGTTTAAGATTTTTGCCAATCTTTTTTGTTTGTTTTTTTTTTTCTGCTTGCTGAGTGGATATTAATATTTTACTCACCAAATCAAAGGGATTTAGATGTTTACTCCGTGTTGTTTCCAGTTCATCATCTTCGTCACTTAGCTGATCATCATCATGAGCATCCTTTTCATCAAGCAATAAATCCTTTTCTATGCCTCCTTGCAATTTCTTCAATGCACGAGAAGACATCTTTATCTTAGCCTAATGTGAAAAATTCTAGACACCTATCTTTTTCATCAACACGATGACGTTTTCTAATTTAGTTCGACCTACACCACGTAGTGTTAAACTTACGCAGTTTATAAAGATATTATTTTTTCTTTTAATTTATCAAGAAACTTTAGCAAATTATTGCGGAGCAAATTTTTGTGTTTTGATTGTTTCTAATGTAGAGAGAAAATCAATATCCTCTGTAAACGTGATATGACCTCTTCACTTCATTTTCTTTAAAAAAAATTCTAATGAAAATAAGCGGAAAAATACTTGAAAGAGATATGCCAAAATCGCATTGTTTACATTTTTTGAAGTATAATTGGTATGGTTGCCAAGTCATTTAATACATTCCATGTAAATTGCGGTACATTTTGTCGACTGGACTGACAAGCCCAGTATTGACTAATTTGAATATCGCTTTTCGCGAAGGACAACTCCGTTGCAAAAGCAAGTCAATAGCTCGAATACTGGTCGGTATAAAAATGCTTTGTATATGTCGGGATATATTGCTCGTTTCCGTCAGCATATGTAGCACTTGGCCGATATCCGATATAATTTTGAATAGGTATATTAATTTTTATTACCTTATTGACAAGTATATGCAGGCATTATAAACCAAATAATAAAAACAAAGAACAAAAGCCAAAAACAAAAAAAAAATCATATAAAAACATATGTATTTTACGACAGTGCAGAGAATGGATAATTAAAGTTTCCAGGATTTCAAAGTAATTGCTGCTTACTACAAAATCGTTATAAATTTTATTACAATATGGAAGACACGAATGGATTAATATACGGCTTGGAGTTACAAGTACAATTAAAAAATTACGAAAAACATGAACATTATTATTATACACTATTATTTCCATACATATTAGGCACGAGCATTGACACCACAATATGGAGAAAATAATGAGGTGCGCTTCTTTATAGCCACCAACTCATTGAAGCCAACTAACCAAGTACACTTATTGGAATTCAACGAGGAAAAAGCAAATGTCAAATCAAAGGTGATTTAGAAATTTTACTTTTAGCCACCAACGACCTTAAATTCCAAATGCTATTTAAATCTAGATATATGAGCATTCACTAGGAGAGGTTTGGAAATTAAATAGTAGTCCACATAATGAAAATCTAATTGCGTCTTGTTACAACGTTCTGAAAGGTGCGCAGGTGAAAACGCAAGCAGCACTTCTCCAAATGGCCACCGATCTAGATGAGCAAAATGTAAAAATGGAATTTTTACCGTGGCAACAAATAGAAACACTTGACACAGAGGTATTGTTAAGCATTTTTAATCAGCATAAAAATTGATTACTTTTAACTTTAATTATTGTTAGAAATTTGGAGATAAAGTCAAAACTTTAGAATTCCATCCAAGTCAGGAAAATACTTTAGCCTGTGTGGTTGATGGGAAAGTTATTATTTTTGATCGTGCTCAATCGCAAACGCGTGTTATAGCAGAAGCGACAGCACCAAGTTGTCAAAAGAATTCTCCACCTTTTACCACCGGCAAATGGTCACACCACCATCAAGGCCATCAATTCTTCACTTTGCACGATTGTAGTGTACGATCTTTTGACATACGTGACACCCAACATTGTGCATGGTCTATTGAAGATGCGCACACTCAACTTATTCGAGATTTAGATTGTAATCCGAATAAACAATGCCATATTGTAACAGGTGGCGATGATGGTGCTGTAAAGGTTTGGGATTGCCGCATGCCAAAAGAAGCAGTATTTTCTCGAAACGATCATTCTCATTGGGTATGGTCTGTTAGATTTAATACATTCCATGATCAATTAATACTATCTAGCTCGAGTGATTGTAAAGTTTTATTAACTTGTGCTGGTTCAGTGAGTTCAGAAGCGGCGGCTAGTGATGCATTAAATGAAGAGCGTAAACGTGTTCTTTCTGATGGATTACTACAAACATTTGATCAGCATGAAGATTCTGTGTATTGCGTCGAGTGGAGTAATGTAGATCCTTGGATATTCGCTTCGCTTAGTTACGATGGACGTGTATTGATTTCGAAAGTTCCAAAACAGTATAAATACCAGATAATATTCTGAGTAATATTTATTAAATTTAAGTTTATGTATGTACATTTATTTATATTATTAGCTAATGTGGAATAAATTAAATAAATATTGAAGACTAAAGTTTAATGTTGTTTATCCTGTATCTTCAGATGTGCAATCTGAAGAATCATTAGGGTTTGTCGTCTCTATAGAACATACACGTTTAATTAATTCATTTTCTATGGGCTTACCATTGTCCACTGCCTCTTCCATCTGTACATATTCGACTGTGGTGCTTTTCTTTAAAGAATCAGTATTCTTTTTTGAAGATATATCTGACGCGTTAACGCTATTTTCTGCTTTTTGTTGCTCTTGGAAAGCCGCTGCTTCAGTCTCGTCTTCTGCCTCTTCAGCTAAACTACTACGCTGCGGCTGCGCTTCTGCATAAGCTAAAGGATATTGCTGACTAAGTTTTTGCTTTATGGAACGCACTTTACGAAAAATATAATCGAGATCCTTCTTCATTTCGGTTAATAATTTGACATGTTTCTTAAAGTCGTCATTTGCATTCTTTAGTCGACCTTGTGATAACTGATTACAGTTTAACATCATTTCATTCGTTTTTTCAAAACGTTGTAGCCTAAAAAACAAATTGAATATAATTGTTGAGTAATTCGTATATTAAAGAATTACATTTGCTTTTGTGCGCGTATCATAGTCTCCACATCCCCCTGATTCACCAATCCGGCTAGACCCTGGATAAAAACTTCCGCAGCCGTGTAGTTATGGAAACCTTCAAATTCGCTTTCAGGTGTGGCGTTTTCTGTTGGCGCTTCATTATTAATCTTTGGTGATTGCATTGTTTGAATAGGTTGATCCATTTAATGGTCGCGTATCGCAATATGTTTCGGCAGAAAATTTGTTTGTTTTCCGTTTTATTGATTTTGTTTTTATTTTAATCAAATAAAAATACATACACAATCAGAGATGTTATAGAGAAACTCATTTCCATGCCACTCACATCTATCATAATTTTTTTTTTAAATCGTTCGAAATCTTAAATTTTTGTATTCAAAGTCAAATTTGCAATGTCTTTTAGTAAGCATTTTTTGGATTTAGCAAAAATAAATTATTGCAATAGTTATTTTAAAAGTTATCCCTCTCCTTTGGCATTTAGCATTCAGTTGTTGGAGCTATTTACCGCCAGGTGCGTGCTGAGTGAATTTGCTGAATGAGCTTTCTTTCAAAATCTCCATTTTGTTTATAACTGTCAATTCACATAGCGAATAAAAGAAGGGAGAAAGCGAAAAAGTCATCAAATAGAGAAAACAAGTCAGCTGCAGAAAAAATTGTCCCATAAATAAACGCAATTATTGGCGTCGTAAAAGTACAAAAGTTTTGCAGAAATTGCAGTTATTTAGAAGGAAAAACACACACATTTTTTGGAAGTCTAAATTTATTTAAAACGTAATGGCGCAGAACATCAGTCCAGAGCACAGTGGAGTGGACACGGGCAAACAAGGTGCTAACTCTTGTGCGGCAAAACATGGACATGCAGTTAGTAAACGGTATGTTTGGCAAATTACCTCTCCAATTTTTAGTGTTTGAGATTTTTATTGGCATGTTCTCACGTGTAATGAATATTTTTTCTTAGGCTACAAAAGGAACTAATGAACCTAATGATGGGAACAGAAAAGGGTATTTCAGCATTCCCAGATGGCGAAAATATATTCAAGTGGATCGGCACTATCACTGGTGCGGCAAATACTGTATATGCTGGCCAAAAATATCGTCTTTCGTTAGAATTCCCAAACTCATATCCATATGCACCGCCAGCCGTTAAATTTTTAACACCTTGTTTCCATCCAAACGTAGACTTAGCTGGCTGCATTTGTTTGGATATTTTGAAGGATAAATGGTCAGCATTATACGATGTACGCACAATCCTGCTATCCATTCAGTCACTTTTGGGTGAGCCTAATAATGACAGTCCGCTAAACGCTCAGGCGGCAATGATGTGGGCGGATCAAGCCGAGTACAAAAAATACCTGGATGCCTTCTACGAAAAACACAAGGATACATAAATTCCTAGATGAAGAAATGTTAAAAAACTATGCGATTGACGCTTTGATAGAAAAAATATAAATAATAATTTTGATGGCGTTTTGGTGGTCGTCGGTTTGACGACAGTCAACGAAATGTATCTCCACTGTGCTGCTTTTTCACACATCAAATTAATTCATTTATTGGTACACAACACCCAACTAACGTTATTATCAAATTCATTTGTAATCGAGTTTATTTTATAGTTTTAAAAAGTTACTACATTTTGTTGTCCGTTCACTGCCGACGCTGCCACCGTGAGCCTGTGAGCAAACACATAAAACACATTAAGTACTTTTTTAAGAGATATTCGCTATATATAAGAACATTTTAAGTAGGTGTAATTGAATTTTTTATCAACGCTTTCATGTAATTATTTTTGCTATTATTTAGTATTTAAAAGTTTGTTTACATAAGTGGCAGAAATATATAAAACAAATTATTCTTATTTAGCATATTGTAAAAAATCTAATGAAACAGTTCTAAAGCGAAGCAGTCAAACAATAAAAACACAACTCAAATTTATTTGTTAATTATGTTTAGTTTTTGTATTCGATTGTATATGTGAATTTCAAGTTTAAAGAAGTGTTAAGAACTTATTGGATATATAAAACAAGCACACCTAGCATCCTATTGGAATTCACAGTTTCGGAATGTATCATGCCCATTACCATCTAAATTATGAAATAATGTCAACAAAAATTAGAATGATATAAATTGTATTGATTAAAGATAAATAATTGTAACGGTAAAAACCACTTTGAGAAACTAAGACATTAAAATAGTATTGTATTCCCTCATGAAAACTGATGTTCTTTCTTCATAATAAATTTATGCATGTGTGTATGCCCATTCAATTATTTAGCTCGTTTGGCAGCTGGACCATCATTTATATTTTTTTGTTCCGGAATCGTAGATGATTTACTTATGCATTGTCGCACTTTAATGTTGAATGTTTCCTTATTCGCTTTGTACAGATCAGCGGCTTCACTGTTCAGTGGATCGTCTGGGTTAGGGGAAGCCAGCAGTAACTGTATAGACAATAATATGGACTCCAGTGTAATAGCAGGGTTGTAAGAACCGCAAGGTGGCATACGCAATAAATCTAAACAAATTTTTCCTGCTGGTAAAGAAATGAATATGTTAGATTTGTACGTACAAAGTAATGCAAAAAAAGAATATGGTCTGATGGGAATTAGTAAACACTTCACAAGTTGATTATTATTGTTTGAATAAGTGTGCAAATAAAAGCTATAGTAAACACGAGTATATATGTATATATATCTTCACTTATATGAGACATTGTCAATAGATAAAAGTTTATTTTTTTTTTAGAAAAATCGGTAAAAATTTCTCCTTACTATTAATAACTTTTTTTTTTTTTAATCACTCACAATTGTCAATGTTTGGATGATATATGGGTGTGATAAATTTAAAAGTCGGTGGTTGGAAAGGATACTGTGTGCCAAAACTTATATCCAAATTAAATATGCCATCTTCATATGGAGATCCTTTAGGTCCGGGAATTTTCGCAATCAAATTGGAGTAGTCGTCCTCGTTCGAGCCTTTTAGCTCACATGATATACCTGTAATAAATTAATTCTTATTACAAATAAAATATATTGTATGTATTACCATGATCCTTGTTATTTTTCTGCAGTTGTTTAAGTTCAATTGGTATTCGCATTTTTTTAATTTTATTATTCATTTTCTTATTATGGTGTTATTTACATTTGTACTACCATATTTTTAATAATTAAATATACATAAACAGCTGTTTACTTTCGCGCCAATATGGATATGTAAATGCCATGCTAAAGGGTTGTTGAAAAGACACAAACTTTTGTTAGCTAAAAATTACATATAACTATGTTCACATATTCATGTACATTATACGACAAAGTATTATAACTAAATATTATAAACCAATATAACTGTTTCCTATTTCGAATTAAAATTTTAAGTGTTTTATAGGTGATAAACTTGTTCAATTAGTTATAATTATACAAATACAACCATGCACAATGAAAACAAACAACAGCTGATTGACTCACGGTTTATAGAATTTTCGTGCCGGTTAAAAGAAAAGCAACACAACAACACCATTGGTAATACGCGGTAAATGTAGTAAATTGTATATGAACCGTGAAAATAGAATAAGGTATTGTTGTTGAAGTGGGAGGGCAATGAAAATTACCACCTCACCTTAAATCGCACATGGCAAAGCTAAAAGGTATCTTGGTGATGCTTTGAAAAATCGACACAGGTAAAATTGAATTTTCCGATATTGCTATGCAAAATACATATGGTGATTAAAAAATTTGTTTTTTGTACTACTATATATTTTATTATGTTTAGATGTGTTGATAAGAACAAAAACTGAATGTGTAGTGCCTTTTGATGGAGTATATCAAGAATACGTAAATAATTTCGAAATTTAACGCACAACTTACACAACAGTTTTAAGTTATAAGACAGTGTAATGCAACTTTGTTACGTCTGCAGACTTCTTTAAAATTAATGACGAGTAATATACATAAGTTAATCCGTCCACAAAAACTCAACATCATAAAATTGCTAATTCGTTCACATTAGTCTTTCTGCAACGTAATTTTCGCCTGCCTTTTTCGTAACTACAAATGCACTGCCCTATCATGGTCTATGTACGTATTGTACTCACAACGTTATTGACCATCACCTGCCTTTTGGGTGATAATTCTGTGGAGCTTACACAGCATCCACTTTTGAAGGCTCTAGCCGATAATGCCACGCATGCTTTAATTGGAGCTTTTACGGGCATTGCATTCGCTGTACAATTCCACGATCGAACCAGCAATTTACTAGGATGGTTCCTTATATTCACTTGTTTCGCGGTATCTTCCTTGATTGATGTAGATCATTTTATAGAAGCGCGCTCTTGGTACTTGGAGGTGAGATGAGTTTTGAAATGATGATTAACATATGCATACATACACACTAATATGTGTAATTCTTTTGATTATTGATTTCTAGGATGCGACCAATTTACAACGACGCCCATTTCTACACTGCTCTAGCGTAATTTTTCTACTACTCACGTTTTACTTATGCACCGCCAGCTTGAACTATTTTAAGACATCTTTAATTTTGGGAGAATTGCTTTGTGCGTTCATAACACATCATACACGTGATGCTGTGCGTCGTGGTTATTGGTTCTGTCCATTTGGACACACTGGCCGAGTGTCAAACATCGGCTATATTGTGATAGTAAATTTAACTCCACATTTGGTGGCATATATACATAGCATTTGTCGCAGTGGACCACTACAACGTTTCTTAGGTCAATATATTAAGATGAGTGATAATTATCGCATAGGAAGTGAGGGTTATCGTTATATGAATGTATAAATTTTTATCATAATTGATATTTCATTGTTAAATTTGTTGAGTAGTGATATTCATATGGTACATACATATGTTATGTGAGTAGATAGTTTTAATTAGGTATAATATACCGAAGGAACTTATACCAAGTGATAGCGCAACATAGTAAAGCTTGGCTTATATACTGAATAATCCACAACTTTAGCAAATTATTTGAAAATTAATAATTCACTTTTACCAAATATTAAATTTACTTAATAGAAAAAAAGTTTAAAAAGCAAAGTTGCTCTAGGAGTATTTGGATTGTTTACTACGAAAGAATATATGTATATATAGATACTTTATCAACGAATAATATTGCGCTCAACTTCCATTCAAATACACATTTGTCCCTTGACAAATATAATTACTTGTACTAAGTACTACAAAATGGTCAATGGACCAGTAAAAAATAGAAAATGAATTTCTAATAGAAATTGCAAGGGTGATCTTAATATTAATCATAAAATATAATATATATATGTAGGTACTTTCATATTAGAACGACTACGTTCCATAATATCCATAACATTGTGATATTTTATTCATCAACAAATACATATTTATACTAGTATACGTAAAATACATCTTAAGCAATTTTACATATGTATGTATGTAATAAAAAAGCAAATAATTCAACTATCACAAGCAATTGTTTTCCATTTACAACTCCAAAAAAAAATGTAAACCTAAAAATCACAACATTTTTTAAATAAATGCAATACAGAGTCCTTTAAAAAAGTCTGAAAGCCACATTTGAACAGAATTTTGCAATAACATATATACATATGTATATGTATGTATGTCTTAAGTATCACTTAAACGATGTATGTATATATTCAATAAGATGAAATCTCTCTATTTGCACTTTTTTAATTGGGCAGCTTGGAGTAATTGAAAACTGCTTGATCATTTCTTACCTAGTCTTTTAAAAAGATTACTCTTTAATCGATACATATTTACGTATGTAAAACATATTTTTTCAAGATAATTTTTAGTTTACTAAAAAATATCGCTATCAACTGCTTGCCTTAAATAATAAATAAAATGCTTATATAAAGAATATAAAAGAGAATTTTATTTTTTTGGCGAAATGTGGTATGTGCGTCCCATGCCGTGTCATCCAAGATCTCCATAGTAAACGGAAACGTCGCGATGATCAGACCTGTGACTTCTCACATCTAAGCGGAAGTTGCAAAAGTCATAAAAAATCGAAATTTATTATGGCGTTTTAAAGTAAGGAAAAGGACTAAGTTACGTAGTGGGATCCGATCCATCATAATGATGCCTTTAGGCACGTAAGGCGACCACATGATTTTTTTTTTATCGGTCGGCCGTAGTAGACGAGTGGTTAGTATTTCGTACTGCCATTCGGAAGGCTCGGGTTGGAATCCTGGTAAGACCAATATCCAAAAGTTCTAGAAAATTAAATTTAAATTTTCTAATTGCGAATGCCCCTCGGCAGTGAATGTCAACCCCTCCGACTGTAATTCAGGCATTAAGAAAAGGCTTTTCCAAAAAAAGAAAGCGGCTAGTATAAACGCAAAACCACAAATGGGAGCAAGAGCTCGGCCGAAAGGCTCTCTTCCCTAGCAGCGAAGATAACTTAGGTCTCTCGGCTCTCGTTCTTCGCACACTATTTGAGCCCAACAGCACTTCAGCATGGCATCCGAAAAGTTCCCGGCACCACAAAGGCACTTAATGCCATAAACATCCAGATAGTCCATGGACTTCACAAAAGTCTGGCCTGCTCGCAAACCGTCGTGGTGGTACTGGCTTTTTCAAATGCAATACTATCGAAAGACTCTTCTCTAAAACCGGGGCTTAAGTTGTGGACTATGGCCACTCACAGTCATCAGTATAGTTTCGATGTGAAACTTTCAAACACCGAGTTGTGTTTAATTTTTCATCTCGAATCTCCGTCCTTCACCAGAGAACGTTTCATTGATCTCATATGCCGTTGACTGCTTTATATTACCGACTGGCCGGGATATTGTTAACTTATGTTCGAAAGTAAGCAGCCATCTCGCCGATCCTTCACACTTCCTCACTGCTCGACACCAATATCTACAAGTTGAGAAATCCGGCTACTCTTTTAACCAGCTGATCTTAGGAGTACCGACTGGAACATGATGTGAAAGTCGTAAACTACAAGTAGCAGCCCAAAGATGCTGACAGTCACTATCGACCGCCTGCATTATTTTACTCCGTGTATGACTGAAAAAAGTACAGAGGTATAAGAAAAGCCTGAAATTGTTGGATGGTAGCTCCTGTGGAAAAGACAGAAACGCCGTTTGTAACCCATAAGGCAATTGACTGGCTGATTGTTGTTGTAACCGCAAGAAGTATTCCCCAAAGTAGTTTTTGAGGAATGCTGCATATGTGACAGGCCTTCGCCGAACAAAAAATTTGGCTCTTTCCGGGAATTATTGGAATTTAGACGCATCTTACGACAGGTATGCCTTACCGCGTGTAAATTCTTGAACCCTTAACTCGCAGTGGTGATTGGCCGGCTGGTCGTAGATTGTACTGTTACGCTTTGGACGCTGCGGACCAGCAAGACGCAGTTTAAAGAGTTAAAAGCACACCGACTTCAGCACCGTGACACGAACCCTCCTCATGTCACTGGCGCATCACTTACATCGTGAAACTTCTTTGCTACGGGTTATGGTACATAATGTTATGCTGCTTGAGCAATATCAGCTGGGATACTAGCGTCGGGAGCGCTGCAACAAAGATTCACTTGAGGTTGAACTGTGCGGAGAAGCACAGCTGGAATGACTTACTAGACCTACTTCATTCAACACCATAGACATTAATCTCAGAAGAGGCATACCGACGTGCTTTATACGCCCTTCATCGAGAGTACGTCAAAACCTTTATAAATTCTCTTCCAGTAAAAGGAGTTCTCGGGATCCAAGCACCATCCCTATTGTGGGCAAAGAGCTCGAGATGCCTGGAAAGTTCCCATTATTGCTGGTACAATTAAGTAGTGGATATTGAAATCGACTTAATTCCTAGATATCTAGACTTGACCCCGACATTACCAACTACGTATTTGCATGCCCCTTGAAACTTACTCATGTAATCCCCTCCCCTTTCTTTCTGTTCGGAACAGCTCGTTTCCTGAACCTCTCATTGGATGGCCTCGTTGACTTGGATAGTTCTTGCCTGCTGCCTAGCGAAGTGTAAAAACCTCTATAACAACAAAAACTTAGGTACAATATATATATGTATGTAGCGCGCATACATTTTCCAAAACAATTTTCCTTTAATTAGGAACTTGAAGAAAATTTAATTGAATATTAAATTTGACGCAAATATTGAAAATATATAATATATATATGTATATCGCTGCAGATACATACATATGTGCTTGTGTATGTGGCACCTTTCGCTGCCAATTGCAAAATGTATGCTAAGTGCACTTCTAATTTGTAGTTTTGTTAATTATAAATTTCTGCTGAAATTATAAAGGACAGAAATCAAGTGGCGTAGTGAAAGTTTTTTTTTTAAATTTATTTTTGCTTGTATATTTTAATTTAAATTAAATACAAAAATAGCAAAATGTTTAAAGAAAGTCCGCCTGCCAATTCCGCTCAGATAATGTGAAAATATCAACAGCTCTGCATTTATATACATATATAATTGGCGCTTTTTAACGCTAGAGTGGTCTTTGGCCGAGCTCCTCCTCCAATCAGTGGTATCCTTGATGTTTTTAACACAAATGGAGGGATTAACCTTTAAAACTAAGCCGTCTCAGAACTTTCGATGGATTTTTATGACAAGATTTTTATTTTCATGTCAGAAATACACTCGGAGGGCTTAACATTCCCTACCGAGGGGCGACTGCAATTAGAAAAATTGATTTTCTATAATTTTGGAACTCGCTAAAGCCCAGGAAAAACAAGTATACCGAGCAAGTAATAACTGCTGAAAGGTATGTGGATGTATTTCGCTGAATCTCTGCACTTTTGCGGATCCCAAGGTCTGAGACACTTACAAAGAACTTCTTGCTGCGTATAAATTTTCATTAAAAAAAAAACTGATTAGAAAGAGTTTTTTTAAACACCATACTAATATTTTTTAAGAAAGACTGAAAAACTTCAATTTTTTTGTTCTTGTGTTGTTGGTTTCTGCAGTTTCGGACTTAATGTCATGAGGGGATTGATTTCAGGAAGGAAGGAAGTATGTTGATTGTGTCCGCATGATATCAGGATATAATGCGGTCATAGTTGCCCCAGTATTACTTGAACTTCATGCCGCCGTTCAAGCTCCCCGTCTGCCAAGACATTCCGATGACGCCATTCACGAGAAGTGAGTTGGTAAAGCAGCAGATATAGCTTTGATATCATATCGTTGTTTTTATTGTTGTAGTAATTGCAAAAAGATTCTGCAAAGTAGTTTTTGGGGAATAGTGGGACTACAGCTCTTAGCGGGATAAAAATTATGGTCATTCCGGTATAAAAACCCGACTGTTTTTGATTTTGTATTTTAGTCACTCCTACCATGCAGTTCGGCTCGTCATTAATTCAGTTTGCACAGACTATTCTTGAGCCTATTGGAAAATCTGTGTTCTATCAGATCGTTCTCCACAGATGCTTCCCCCGAAGTGTTGGTGTTCCTCTTAATTACGCTGGTGTGTTTTACATCGAATACTTTCAAAGCTGAAATGCTTTAATCTATTCGAATGATATCACCCAGCCAGTATAGCTACTGTCTCTTATTTGAACTGAGATCCTCACGCTAAGGTATGTAGTTGGTGAGCTGTAGAACTCACTCATATTCAGACCTCGAATCCATCGGATAAGCCTTCCCTAAGCTTCACCGTAGTTTTCGTAGTGGCAGACTTGCATGAATTTGAGTTCCACCATTAAGGTGGCTTAATAGCCCCGCTAATACTGTTTAAGGTCGCCTGCTGTACAGGGTACTGCCAATCCTGACGTTAAAATCGCTAAACACGATTTTTACATCGTAGAGAAGAGTGCGCTCTTGAGTACGCTCCAAGCGCTCATAAAACGCATACTTAGACGCAGCGTCCTTCTCTTCTGTCGGAGCCTGGGCGCAAATTGACGGACTGTGACGAGACGTTCATCCACCGTCGTGAAGGTCAGTACCCTGCGAAGTAGTGTCTCTCCCACCACGGATCCGACACCAAATGCGGTCTCCTTTATATGATCGCTGTAGTTGACGACACGAGGACCACAATCCCTTGGTCATGTCAGCCTTTAATTCGATGATAGTATCAACCAGCTGGACAGCGCCACCTTTCCAATAAAGGAACCGCGCATTCGAGATGCATGTCCTTAAATCGTGGTCCTTAATTCGTTTGCAGTGACCGTCATCAAAGTACTCCGCATCCGAGGCATTGTTTTTCTTTTCATGGGGCTGGTTTCAATACTTAGTTAGAGTAAAAAGTTTAGTTTGGAGTCGTCTGATTAGAGAACTTGGATATTCTTATGTTTTTTTTATGAAATGTTAAATCAGCACGTTTTACTTATTGTAGGAGATCTAAATTTAAACGAAGAGGAACTGGCATAATGCCATTTAAACTACCAAACAACGGTTGCATTGGTCACCACAGTGTACAGCGCATAAACAAATCAGCAGCAGCGAGGACCCACAATAGAATTTAATAATTTCCACTAATTTCGTGCATTTCACTTATGTTTATTGCCTCGAACATAAGTACATATTGCATGTTTATATGGACACTATACATACATACAAACATTCCCACCAAAATAAACATCCATTTCATTGAACATCGCCTCACACCCGCTGAACTTTGCTGATAATCGACACGACAATTCAACAGTTGCCACAAATGTTTTGTGGCCACGATCGGCTGCTCAGCACCATACAGCACATTAGGTCTTAGTAAACCATAGCAACAAAAAACAAAAATAAAAACCAAAACAAGAAAGAAAAAAAAAAACAAAATTATCGTCAAATCATTAAGCTGACAAATGAACGAATGAGCAGCAGAAAAGTGTCGCATTCTA